CTGGTGGCCAGAAAGGCCTGATTAGAAGGTTGGAACTTCCAGCTGGCCCCCCTGACCTCTGCCCTCTGGAGAAGGGAGAGAAGGACTGGAGGTTGAACTAATCACTATGGCCAGTGATTTAATCAATTCTATCTTTGTAATGGAATCTCCAGAAAGATCCCTAACTGGTGGGGGCAGAGAGCCTCAGGGTGGTGAACACGTGGAGATGCTGGGAGGGTGGTGTGCCCAGAGGACATGGGGACTCTGTGCCCCTTCCCACACACCTCGGCATCAGCTCCATCTGGCTCTTTCTGGCTTGTAGCCTTTACGATAAACTGATAATAGTAAATAAACTGCTTTTCTGAGTTCTGTGGGCCATTCCAGCAAAGTACTGAACCCAAGGAGGGGGTCATGGGAACCCCTGATTTATGGCCAGTTGGTCAGAAGCATGGGAGGCCTGGACTTATGATTAATGTCTAAAGTGTGGGGGTTCTGGTGGGACTGAGTGCTAGATCTGTGGGATCCAACACTCACTCCATGTAGATGGTGTCAGAATTCAGTTGACTTGTAGGACACCCAGGTGGTGTCAGAGAACCCAGGAGGTGAGTGTCGGGGGGAGAAACCCTCACACACATTTGGTGTCAGAAGTGTTGTGAGTAGGGGCACCTGGCTGGGTCGGCTGGTGGAGGGTGCAACTCTTTTTATTTTAATATAGATTTTTAAAAATTTTATTTATTAGAGGGAGCGAGAGAGTGAACGAGCAGGGGGAGCGACAGAGGGAGAGGGAGAGACTCCCAAGCAGACTCTGCGCCGAGCACAGAGCCCAATGCAGGGCTCAATCTCACTACCTGAGCCAAAATCAAGAGTTAACTAACTGAGCCACCCAGGTGCTCTGTGTGCAACTCTTGATCTCAGGGTTGTAAGTTTGAGTCCCACATTAGGTGGAGATTACTTACAAATAAAATCTTAAAAAAAAAAAAAAAAGTGCTGTGAATAAAAAAGAGCCCAGAATATCCAGACATACATATAAACACATCTGCTGAATGACTTTGGAAGTTGTAACCACAGAGTCACACAAAACTCAGAAATACTCTGAATTCAATCAAAAATAATTTTCAGAGTTCCATGATGCTATGATGAGTGTAGAAGAATAGACAGTTCCATCAAGGTCAAAGGTATCAGAGCTGGACTTTACATATCCTCAGATGCAAACAAAAGCAAAATCCAACCAAGGGACGGTACAGCCCGGCAAGGAGCGACCCGCTTCCAAGACTCGAGAGAAGCATTCAGAAATGCTACCACACCAGGGACGTGAACTACAAAGGGCTCCAAAGGCGAAGACCGTCCTAGGTGGAGGGCGAGGAGCCCGGATGCTGGACCCATGCAACCTCAGTGAGCCAGGAAGAGACTTCCTGCCGCTCGGGTGCCGGGCCCGGGCACCCCACTATGCCCCCTGCTTCCCTGGGCCGCTTCCATCCCAGCTGGGGCACATGGCTCAAAGCCACGGTAGATGCCCAAGATACGGTGCCTGAAGCAAAGCCTGAATGAACAAGAAAGGAAAGAAAGGAACGAGGAAAGGAAGGAAAAGAACTCCTGGCTTGGCACCTACACGTCCCCACTCCTTGTCTTAAAGGAGCAGCCAATCCACGAGAAAAGAGTCAGCCTTTGGAACTACACATGGGAACGGGATACATGGCAAGAGACTGCACAAGCATGGGAGTCTGCAAGAGGACGGTTTGCTCCAGGAGGGAAGGCCCTGGGCACGCAGGCCAGGAGAGATGGCAGGGCTGGGGAGGGGAGGGTGTGGACAGGGGAGCAGTAAGAAATGGGGCTGCAAAGGTGTTTGAGACCAGACTGCAGAGAGCCTTGGAAGCCAGGCCACAGCCATGAGGGCTTCTAGGCAGGGGATGAATCCCACTATCGGAGTCGATCTTCTGGAAGGTTCACTGGGAGCTGCTCTGCCATGTTGGTGCATCCAGCACACCGGGATGAAGGAGGACTACACGGTGCAGAGGAATGGAGGTGTTCTAGCTGTAATGGAATCCTCAGAAAACAGGGAGAAGAGCCTGGGACAAGCCTCCGTGAAGGAGATGTGGAAGGAGAAATCCAAGAAACAGCAGGGCAGGAAATAGCCAGCAGACGGGGTGATGTGGAAGGAGAGGGGGAAGGGAAAAGGATTTTAGGGGTAGCCCCAAGTGTCCAAAAACAAAAGCAAATGAAGCAAGAGGAGACTAGGGAGGTCACTGATTGCCAATATCCCTATTCATTCCCGTGAGACCTCATCCAGTTTTAGACTTGGTCTACGGGGCGACTGGAGAATGCCAGATTTATATCTCAAGGCCCATCTCCCTCCCAGTTCCAGACCACTGAATCCATACCACCACTTGAGTGTCTAATGGGCATCTCAGACGCAACATGGTCACAATTAAGCTACTGTTCAACTGAATTCCGTATGGCTGCTGCCCACATGCCCCCCATCCAGCGCACGCAGCTCTCCCAGCTCCGCTAATGGGGACTGCCTCCTTCCAGCTGCTTGGGCAGGAAGCCGTGGAGCTGTCTCTGACTCTTCCTTTACTCTACATCCCCCATCAGATCTGTCAAACTCTAAGACTCGACCCCAAATTCTGTCAAGAACCAGCCATGTCTTGCCACCCCCACTGCCACTCTCCCTCCCCGAGCACCGCCATCTTGCCCCTGGATGACTACAACCACATCCCAATGCCTCTCCCCGCTTCTCAGCATAGCAACCAGTGGGACCCTGCCATTAGCTTACGGGATTCCTCTGCCCAAACCCCCCAGTGCTGGCCCATTTCACTCGGTGGGCAAGCTGAAATTTTATTAACAAAGACCCTCTCTAGTCTTAACCCCCCCAAATTCCCCATTGCTCATTCTGCTCCAGGTACACCGTTCCATACACATGTCAGGCATACTTCCGCCCCAGAGCCTTCACGCTGGCTGTTCGCTCTGCCTGGAACACTCTTCTCTCCCAGAGAACCACCAGGTGCAATCTTTCATCATCTTCTCCGTGGAGCCGGCCCTGGCCACCCTATTTAAAACTGTGATCCACACCTTGTCCTCCCAATGCCTTTACCTTGCTCTATTTTTTACCCACAACACTCATAACTCAATACACCATGCACTTCATTTTTTAAAATTGTATTTACTGCCTGTCTCTGCAAGAATGTAAGCTCCATGAGGTCAGGAGCCTTTGCTTTTTTAGTTCACGAATGGATAAGCATCTGGCATCTTATATGCACATCACCACATTTTGCTAAGTTAAACATGAACAGGAGGTGCCAGCTGATGTTTGGGAAAAAGAGAGAGGAATGGTAGCTGTTAGGGATGGAATGTGGTACCCCCAAATTCATATTTGAAGTCCTAACCCCCAGTGTATTTGGGGATGGACCTGTGAGGAGGTGATAAAGGTTAAGGAGGTCATAATAGATAGGGCTAGTGTCCTTATAACAAGAGGAAGAGACACCAGACCGCTCTCTCCACCATGTGAGGACACAGCAAGCAGGTGGCCATCTCCGAGCCAGAAAGCGAGCCCTCACTAGGAATTGAATCAGTCAGCACCCTGATTTTGGACGTCCCATCCTCATTTCTCTGTGAGAAATCAGTTTCAACTATTTAAAAGCCACGGTGTCCATTATGGCGGCCCGAGCAGACTGAGACAGTAGCTTTTATGGCGAAGAGAGACCTGAGCATTCCACGGAGGACAAGGAACTCAGACAGAGAGACGAGGAGGCAAAAATGGGAAGAAAAAATGGAAGAGGCAAGAGCAAGACTCTAGAAGAACAAAGGCAGGATCTCAGAAAGGCTGGATGATATTTCTTCTAACAAGAAAGAAGAAAGGGGATGGGGGAGGGGCGCCTGGGTGGCTCAGTCAGTTAAGCGTCTGCCTTCAGCTCGGGTCATGATCCCGGGGTCCTGGGATCGAGCCCCACATCGGGCTCCCTGCTCATCGGAGAGACTGCTTCTCCCTCTCCCTCCCACTCTGCCTACTTGTGCTCTCTATCTCTCTGTCAAATAAATAAATAAAATCTTAAAAAAAAAAAAGAAAGAAAAAAGAAAAGGGATGGGGGAGACACCCAGACATTCGGAGTTATGAACTCGACGGTGTCGCAGAGATGTTCCCTGGCAGAGAGGAGGGAAATGGGGAATTGAGGAGAGACTGTACCATGGGAGACACCAGCAGGGAGGAGGGGGACTGCCATGGAGCTCAGCCTGTGGTCCCTGGGTGAGCCCCGGCCGGCCCCTGCCCCACACCCTCATTGCTCTGCTCCAGCCCCTGCAACAGGCTGTGCATCTTCTCTGCCTGCTGTTTGGGTAGTCGGAGGTCGCGGGATGTTTTATCGCACACCTTTATTGCACTTCGCTTTACTGCGCTTCAGAGATAATGCGTTTTTTACAAAGTGAAGGTTAGTGGCCATCCTGCTCAAGCACGTCTATCGGTGCCATTTTTCTAACAGTGTTTGCCCACTTCACGCCTCTCTGTCAACATTTCAGTAATTCTTGCGGTATTTTAAGCTTTCTCATCAGCATTATATTTGTCACAGTAATCTGTTATCAGTGATCAGTAACTTGCTGAAAGCTCGCATGACAGGTTAGTATTTTCTGGCAATAAACTATTTTTTAATTAAAGCATGTACGTTGTTTTTTAGACATAATGCTGTTGCACACTTACTAGACTACAGGATAGAGCAACGATTTTATCACATGGTGTTGATCACATGGTGAGGATTAATTAAGACATATGAAAATGGAACCACATTTGGCACATAATAAACAATAAAAAAAAGAATCACACTATAGTGTAAACATAACTTTTATATGCACCGAAAAACCCCCAAAGTAATCTGACTGGCTTTATTGAGGTATCACTTTACTACAGGGGTGTAGACGCGAACCTGCGTCTCTGAGGAGTGTCTGTGCTTGTAAGAACTTGTACTTGCAGCTGGCTGGTAAGATCAACATAGACTGCTGCATGGGAGCTTACCAACAACATGTACTTCCAACAGAAACCAGGACCCTAATGCACATGGAACCCGCAGGATGCCATGAGCAGAAGATCGTAAGTGACCCTGTGAGGCTGGAGGGAGGCAGAGGCGGGGAGATGGGCCCCAGGCTGCAGAAGCCATGTGGGCCACGTGTCCCTCTCCCCACAGGTAGGCCCGTCACAAACCCCGGCGTGAGGCCTGGTCACAGTGGGTGCTCACTGTGTCCATCAGAAGTTTCAGTGGACAATCTGCCTCTGGGATTTCTCTTCCAGTCTAGATTAAGTGTCACTATGGCACTGGTCACAACTTTAATCAAAAATTTCAAAAGGCTGCAAAGTGCAAAGGGTCAAGTTCGAGGAGACATGGGGCATGGTGCTAGAGACTCGCTAAGAGGTGGCATCATTTTTTTTTTTTTTTTAAGATTTATTTATTTGACAGAGAGAGACACAGCGAGGGAGGGAACACAAGCAGGGGGAGTGGGAGAGGGAGAAGCAGGCTTCCCGCAGAGCAGGGAGCCTGATGCGGGGCTCGATCTGAGGACCCCGGGATCATGACCTGAGCCGAAGGCAGAAGCTTAACGACTGAGCCACCCAGGCGCCCCTAAGAGGTGGCATCATTGACCTTACTGCCCATTCTGCCCTACACTACACCACAGGCGTCCTATTCTGACCTTTGCCCTAGACCCTCCCTATCTAAATCCCATCCCCTCGGTAAGGCTCTGCTCCAGAGCCACCTCTTCTAGGAAGCCTTCCTGGTTCAATAGCTCCAAGCCAGAGTCTCATCAGAACTCAGATTATTCCACTGCATGGCCCTTCATTGGGTGCTGCCTTGAGAAGGATCCCGTGCTGCTCTCTACACTCTCACTTCACTGTGCTTAGTGCATCTCTGGCTTGATGGGGCCAGAGGCAGGCAGGTCAAGGTCAGCATGCAATGCCTGCAAGGCTGCCTGCAGGAATGAGTCCTAAGGTTTAGCTCAAGAGGTCAGCGATCAAGGAAGCGGTCAGCACAAACACTGTGCCAGGGAGACTATAAACCTGAGAGCCAGGCAGCAGGAGCTGGGGGCTAGGAGAGCAGACAGGCCCGCCCCGATGAGAGACTAGCGCAGATGGCAGGGCCTGTGTGCCACGGAGCCAGCAAACCAGCCGCAGCGGGGCTGGCCTGAGGCAGAGAATGCTCGCTGGCGGGAGCTGGGTTCGCCCAAACCGCACATTCTTTCACTGCGCCTGGCTGGTTGCTGCTTGCCTGCACACAGGGCCCCTCCAGGGCGGCTTGCTGATCCTCAACTGAGGGCCCGTTGCAGTCGCGACCACATGCGTCCTTCTCATCCCCACACCGCCAGGGCCTTAAGGGATGGTGCCAAATCAGCGTGTCTCCGAGCACTCCCCATTCTCCTCCTCCTCAGGGGTGGTCAGCCACTTTCCGGCTACCTGGGCCACACCTAACCACCGCGGTGACTCCGTCCAGAATGTTTTATAGGCTGGCAGCTGGGGAATCTGAGAGTTCCCTTCTCTGCGGGCTGAAGGCAGGCAGAAAATGATCCATTAATTTTTCTGTGCCCTGCCCAACAGTTTACAGGACACCCTCCAGCCCTAGTAGTGTATCCACAACTTGTGCTGAATCTTACAGAGCTTGTGATCCCTCCTTCTGAGACTGCTCTTCTGTGCCATACCTGCATCACGCTGGTATCGTGCCATCCAGGAAAGGGCTCTACCTCGGGGAGGAAAGATTCTGCTCATTGATGGCACGGGCTCAGAAAGAATGTGCCTCTGCCTGGAGTGGCCCTGTGGTGGGGCAGGGTGGCCACGTGAGGCCCAGCACTTGCTCCGCCCTCTGGGACAAGTGGTAGTCTTCTAAGCCCTCATACAAAACGGCACCTACTGGACCAACGCTTTCTAGATCCTCAAGACATCGTCATACTCTGTTCTCGAAATATCTGCCAATGTAAATCTCCTCCTGTCCACTCAAGGGCTGCACTGGGCTACTCTTCTGGTTTCTTATTTCCCACAGAGCTCAGTGCATGGGCTTGGTGGTTAGCGGGAGCTCAAGAAATAGATTCCTATGCATTTAAATCTACTCTACCTTTCTTCCAAAAAGGATTGGAGGCTGCTTAAAAAGTGTGTGATATAATCCAATAAAAACAGATGAAAATATCCTCCTGAAGGGAAAACAGAGAAGAGTAAATGAAGCTAAGTCCAAGGGCATGCAACAGAAAAGGTGAGTCTTGCAAAGTTCCTAAAGGTGGTTACAAATTCAGCTCTGGGTTTTCTAGGGGCTAAAGGGGAAAAAAAAATGTGGTCCATAACGAAAGTCAACATATACAAAAGATGAAAGAAAAAAACTAAAAATAAAACTCTACCACTTGCTTAAGAGAAGTTCAGCTTCTCCTGGGCACTATAGGATAATTTCCTGAGCATAAATTCCTATAAGTGGGTTCTGTAGATTTTTAAAGGCCTTTGATGTATATTGCCAATTGCTCTACTGAAAGGTTGTCCTGATTTACATTTTTACTAGTAGTCTGCTCTCTTCCCTACACTGCGGATTATCTTTTAAGGGGGATGGTGGGGGTGGTGGGCATTCTTTGCAAATAAAATAGATACAAATTCAGTGTTTTTATCTGTAAATCATGGAAGTAAATTATGCTGAATATTTTTCACATCATATCAATGCACTGGATGAATTGCCTACCTCATATCCTATACATACTTTTTACTAAATTATCTCTTTTTTTTTTAAAGATTTTTTTTTTTAAGATTTTTATTTTTTTATTTATTTGAGACAGAGAGAATGAGAGACAGAGAGCATGAGAGGGAGGAGGGTCAGAGGGAGAAGCAGACTCCCTGCCGAGCAGGGAGCCCTATGCGGGACTCGATCCTGGGACTCCAGGATCATGACCTGAGCCGAAGGCATTCGCTTAACCAACTGAGCCACCCAGGCGCCCTAAAGATTTTATTTTTTATTCAACAGAGAGAGACACAGCGAGAGAGGGAACACAAGCAGGGGGAGTGGGAGAGGGAGAAGCAGGTTTTCCGCCGAGCAGGGAGCCCGATGTGGGGCTCTACCCAGGACCCTGGGATCATGACCTGAACTGAAGGCAGACGCTTAACGACTGAGCCACCCAGGCGCCCCTAAATTATCTCTCTCTTTTTTTAAAGATTTTATTTATTCATTTGACCGAGAGAGAGAGCACAAGCAGGGGGAGTGGCAAAGGGAGAGGGAGAAGCAGACTCCCTGCTGAGCAGGGAGCCTGATGCAGGGCTCGATCCCAGGACTCTGGGATCACAACCTGAGCCAAAGGTAGATACTTAACCAACTGAGCCACCCAGGTATCCAATTCTCTCTCTCTTTTTTAAAGATTTTATTTATTTTGTCAGAGAGAGAGACACACAGCGAGAGAGGGAACACAAGCGGGGGGGGGGGGGGGAAGGGAAAAGCAGGCTTCCCGCCGAGCAGAGAGCCCAGATGTGGGGCTTGATCCCAGGACCCTGGGATCATGACCTGAGCTGAAGGCAGATGCTTAACAACTGAGCCACCCAGGCGCCCCTCTTTTTTTTTTCTCCCTAAGGAGATCTCTTTTTCTATGAAAGATATTATTTGCCGTACATATTATTAATATTGTTGGTTGCCTTTGTTTAAGCTTTTTGACATCCAAAAGTTATCTTTTTTATTGTAAAATGAAATTTCCTCCCTTTTCCCCCCAAGTTAATCAGATATTTATTAAGGCCCAACACTGAAGCCTCTCCATTTTACGGAGAAAAGAGAGGATAAGTAACTAGTTCAAGATCACTCAGCGGGAGGTAAGGACAGGACTGAGTTGTTGGTAGCCTAGACTAGAGAGGTGGTATCAATGAGGGTGGAATAAGAAACAGGCAACAATGTCCCAGGCTTGGTAGAGGTAGGACAGTTGACATTCTTCTTGGATCGTACCTCTAAGATGCCTCCCCAGTCATCTGTGAGGGTATGCTCCAAGGCCCAAGCATGTCTCAGAGTCACATTTTGTGCATATTTGTGTGTGAATATGCGCATGCGCACAGACATGTACAGAAGCTGGTAGAGGGGTGCAGAAGCCAGAACATGATTGAAGGGCCTTTGTTAGGAGCGTCAGAGGAAGACACACATCAAAGACAACTACTGGTGTGTATGGTGAATAGGGAATAGAGAAAACTCAGGAATGTCTCTGTATTGCTGCAAGGACCAAGATGAGAAATCTATGGTCCTCAGAAGAAGCAGGGCACAGCTGTGTGTAAACATGGACACTGACGGGCAGCAAAATCTAGGTAATGCTAAGGCAAGATCTGGAACTAGCCAGCCTACCAGTGGGTCTCACCTCGAGCCCCTCCAAGAACTTCTAGTCACAACCCAGGGACTGAGGCTGAGGGACATTCACACTGGCTGGCTACACCCCTTTTCCACTATGCAGTTACAATAGATTGTCACGGGACACCTTGGTGGCTCAGTCAGTTAAGCTTTTACCTTCGGCTCAGGTCATGATCCCAGGGTCCTGGGATCGAATCCCACACTGGGCTCCCTGCTCAGCGGGAGCCTGCTTCTCCCACTGCCTGCCACTCCCCCTGCTTGTGCTCACTCGCTCTCTCTCTGACAGATAAATAAATAAAATCTGAGGAAAAAAACAAGACTGTCACATCTCCTTTAAGTGACACACAGAGTTACTTCTGGGGTGAAGATTAGAATCCTAGGAGGAAGAAGGTGTGTTTTTTAAATGAACAAAGAGGACCAAGGAAAACATTTAAAACCCTCGAGCCCTGTCCTTTCCCTGTCATACTCTTTGATAGCAGAGGACCCTTGCTAGGGCCAAAGCCAGGTCTCTTCTGTCACATCCCAGCCCTCATTCCCAGCAGCCCTACACTGGCAGGGCCTTTGTTTCTTCTGCCGATAACATTCTTTCCTCTCCATTTTACTAAAGCAACTCCTATGGTTTCCAGATCTCAGTTTGAGCCTAACATTCTTATCTTCCCAACCAATCCGGATTCCCTGTTACAGGCCCTCCTAGCACTGGGGACACCTTCCTTCAGAGCACTCACAATTGCAACTTACACTTCTTTGTACAATGGACTGATGGGGTGTGAGCCTCCCTTCTAGGACTGTAAGCTCCCTGAGGGTAGGGATTGAGTCTGTTTTTACTCAAGACTATATCTCCCCTGCCTGGAAGAACAGACATCCTCTAGTCAGCTCTCAGTAAATACTTGTTGAATGAAGGAATAAATGAATTCAGAAACCTTAAGTTTAACTTATCCTCACAAAGGGGCAATTTAACCCTCTGTTCAGTACCACTGGCCAAAGGTCACTCCTGATACTCATCTCAACAGATGCTGCTCCTACGTCAAGGCACGCATGTTTTAAGGCTCTGTAAAAACAGAGTGCTAGAAGGAAATAAGCCTGTGACATCTTCTTTAAGTTATTCAACCCGGTACCCTTCCTTCTGGACCAGTAAACAATTCTTATCTATCACTCAGCTTTTGTTGGGGAAGGGAACTGATTTCATCGGTTTCCTTAATAGGAGGTGTGAGCCTCCAAAATTCTTGAAGGGTTAACAGACCTAGCTTATTAATACCCAAAGAGTGGTCCCTGGGCCACCAGCGTCACTTGGGGGCTTGCTAGAGAGGGAGGATCTCAGCCCCACTCCTAGCCAGACCCCGGGAATCTGAATCTGCATTTTCACAAGATCCCTAGAGGACTCTTACGTGCATTTGAAATGGAGAAGCACTGATTTAAAATTAACTGTTCATTTTTTTGAAACCTTAGTTCCAAACAAAGCCATGTGCTTTAAATGATGAAGAAAAAGCTTAAAGAACCTGATGAGTCCCCCCTAAGCTGTGGAATTTGGGCAAAATTTTGATTTGTCTTTTTTTTTTTTCTTCCTACTCCCTATAATATAAGAAGCACTGAGAACTCAAATATTAGCTGTGTCTGCCTAGGGCTAACCAGGATCTGGTACTACTGCTACAAAGGAAATGAGTTTAATCCTTTTTTAAAAATTGAGACATAATTGACATATAAGAATGCATTTAATTCTTAATAGGTCAGTTAAGTGCTTTACCAAGAGAAAACCTGGCTGGGTGAAAGCTGGGAAGAAGGTATTCACATAATAGAGAATAAAAACACAGTTTTTCGACAGATGTTGGCGAGGATGCGGAGATAGGGGAACCCTCCTACCCTGCTGCAGGGAATGCAAGCTGGCGCAGTCACTCTGGAAAACAGTATGGAGGTTCCTCAAAAAGTTGAAAATAGAGCTACCGTATGACCCAGCGATTGCACTACTGGGTATTTACCCCAAAGATACAAAAGTAGGGATCCAAAAGGGTACGTGCACCCCGATGTTTATAGCAGCAATGTCCACAATAGCCAAACTATGGAAAGAGCCAAGATGTCCATCAACAGATGAACGGATAAAGAAGAGGTGGTATATATATACAATGGAATATTATGCAGCCATGAAAAAAAAAAGAAATCTTGCCATTTGCAATGATGTGAACAGAACTAGAGGGTATCATGCTAGGCGAAATAAGTCAATCAGAGAAAGACAAATATCATATGATCTCACTGATATGAGGAATTCTTTTATTTATTTTTTTTAAATATTTGCTTTTTTTTTTCTTAAGATTTTATTTATTTATTTGACAGAGACACAGCGAGAGAGGAAACACAAGCAGGGGGAGTGGGAGAGGGAGAAGCAGGCCTCCCACGGAGCAGGGAGCCCGATGCGGGGCTCGATCCCAGGACCCTGGGACCATGACCTGAGCCGAAGGCAGACGCTTAACGACTGAGCCACCCAGGTGCCCCTGATATGAGGAATTCTTAATCTCAAGAAACAAACTGAGGGTTGCTGGAGTGGTGGGGGGGTGGGAGGGATGGGGTGCTTGGGTGATGGACATTGGGGAGGTTATGTACTACGGTGAGCGCTGTGAATTGTGTAAGACTCATGAATCACAGACCTGTACCTCTGAAACAAATAATATATGTTTAAAAAAAAAAAGATAGTAGGAAGGGAAAAATGAAGGGGGGCAAATCAGAGGGGGAGACGAACCATGAGAGACTATGGACTCTGAGAAACAAACTGAGGGTTTTGGGGGGGGGGATGGGTTAGCCCGGTGATGGGTATTAAGGAGGGCACGTACTGCATGGAGCACTGGGTATTATTCGCAAACAATTAATCATGGAACACTACATCAAAAACTCATGGTGTAATGAATGGTGACTAACATAACAAAATAAAATTTTTAAAAAAATGGTAAAATAAAAAAACACACAGTTTGTCTCACTTAATAATCATTATTTCCAGAAAACACCATGATTAGTACTTTAAGTCCAAGTTTTCAACACTCTCAGGAAATTAGTCTTCTCACCTACAAGTCCTAGCCACTCAGCCCTCACTATTATGCTTCAAGAACCAGGAAATGCTTTATAGACCTTATCCTATGAATGATCCCAGAGACTCTTTGTGGCAGGGATTTATCATGCCCATTTACGGATGAGTAAACTGAGGCTCACAATCTGACCGATGGAACCAAAGACCATTCCTAGCTCTGTGTGACAGGTGAACCCTCCGGACAGGGTTTTGGCCAAGTCATTTGGGAGCATGTGCTCACTCCACGGCCCAACTGCATCAGAGCACACGAGGTCAGGTGGTGAGAAGTGGCTGTTTCACCTGGATGAGTACTTTTTTTTTTTTTAATGGCTTTAATGAGATATAATTTACATACCACAGAATTCACCACACGTCATTTTTAAGATAGTAAGGAACATGAACATTTATGGAAATAAAGACGTCCTTTTCCCTCTAAAAGAAAAGCCGAAGATGCGGTGAGCCCAGACGGGCAGGTCTCCGGGGAGCCCCATGGAGTCAGGAAGGCCTACCTTGGATTCCGTACAGCCGGTTGAGGCGTGACCGCCGGGCCTCATCGGTATAGGGGACGGCAAGCCAGGGCATCTCACTGAAGTACTGTTTGAATGAGTCCTCGGACCTACAGAGACACACGTGGAAGCAACGCTCTGTTATCCCCGAAAGCACCACCGCTGGGTCCTCCCCGCCTTCTACCAAGCTATGGCCAGCACCCCGAATCATCGTGCTCCGCAGACCCCCAGGCTATGGGAGGGAACTATTCTACCCCCTCTGGTGTCCACCAAGAAGCAACAGCCTCCCCACGACAGGCGGATGTGAACTAGATCGCCAAGGCCATTCCAAGTAGCCTGCTCCTCTGGGTCCTACCAGTTTAACTCAGGCCCAACTTCTCATTTTTCAACAGAGACAGGTGATACTTTTGCAAGTAGCCTAGATGTACTCGGACACTGTTCCCCATGATACTGCTGGTCTGTGCGGGTAACAGTGCTGTGAACAGGGGCACACTCTTAACCAAGCAGAAGCCTATGGCTCCATGTATTAAAACACTCTAGGAATGACAGATCTAACCACAGTGATAAGCAGATCGGGGCTCCCTGGGGCTGGGGTTTGAGGGTGATGACTGAGAAGGCACCTTGTGATGATAGAAATGTTCTATACTTAACGGTGCTGATTACAGGGGTACATACGTTGGTCAACAGTCGTTGAATTGTATGTAATTGTGATGAAGGAGGGTTGCTGATGAGTAAAACCAGCAAGAGGGACCGCAGCAGAGGAAGCTGCAGTAAAAAGGACCTGAGGTACTCCAGGAGGAGACTTTGCCCTTCTTGTTTTTAGGACAGCCCCCAGGCAAAGGACGCGGCCAGAGTGAAGGGAAATTATGGCACAGCCGTCCCAGACAGGTGTCACATTCCATCAGCCTCTGGCTCTTTTCTTTCCATCCTTCCCCTCCAAGCCCTTTCATCGTGATCCACAACGCTGAACAAATCAGAAAATCGCATCCTAATCTCTAATGACCCAGGCTGGAAGGGGACATGCCGCAATTATTTACAGCAAGAACAGGTTTTTCTCGGCTCCCCTTCAGACAGTCGCAGGAGGAAATCTGAAATGTATCTGTCCGTTTGCCAATCATCCCAGATAAGCCTTGCCCAACCCCCATCTCCACGCTCTACCCTTAGGGGGTGAGATGTGTAAGGTAAGAGAAATGCGTGTTAACCTCTGGAAAAGGGAACGGAACGGCGCGGCCACTTTCCCCAGCTCACGTTACCTGTCCGCACTAACAAAGATGATCTCAAATTTCTGGCCTGCCTCCTTGATCTTCCGGTAGGATTCCACCAGGACCCGGGTGAGGCTTCGGCAGGGTGGGCACTGCAAGAGGAGAGGGGGATCCTGCAGCCTGACGCTGGACCTGGCCTTCCCATTTCCCAGCCACTTGCCAAAAGAGACCCGGTAAGCGAGACCCAAGTAGGACTGGGAGAGTGAAACCCGGCTTAATACAGAGGCAGAAACAAACACGCCTCTTTTGAATGTCCAGCACGGGGTGCCCCCCACCCACGTGGCATGCCAGCGGGTGGCAGTGAAAACAAACCCCCTTAGAGACTACTGGAAGCCTCATCAGAATGGGTTAGGAAGACTCTCCTTTCAGACCAGTCAAAAGAAGTAATTTTCTTGCTGCCATCATCATTCATAATAATAAGCACTCATGGCATACCAACAATGCATCAGGTGCAGGAGGAAGTAAGAACACGGAGAGTCATGCCCGAGCAGTTAACACCTCCAAGAGCCAAGCACGACTGGTCGTGGTCGCAACATCACTGCTTCCTTCCACCTGGACTGAACACTCACCCAGTGTGCGGAGAAATAGACTCCCACGTGAGACCCCTCCAAGCTGCTGCTCTCCAGGGACTGTCCATTATTTCTCAGCAAGGGCCCTGCAATGACTTCCCTGAAGGGTTTAGGTCCCCAAGGGAATTCCAAACCTGAAACAGGCAACAGAGGGTGAGAACACTGTTAAGACTCTTCCTTATGGTCTCTGACCCAAGAGGCCTCAGAGAGGCAGGGCCCGGCAGCGTTATCATCAAATAGTATTTGTTAACACACGCAGAGGATCTGGAGCTAAAGCCCAGGAACAAAGGCAGAACCCATTCCTGGCAGAGCCCCACCTACCTCCAAGATGATGGTTCCCGAACCTGGGTGATCACAGGGCCCATCTCCTGCGGGGGCTTTTGGAAAGTTACAGAAGCCCTGGTCACACTCTGAGTCTTGGGATCTGGGGCCAAGGCTGAAGATGTATGTCCAAAACAAAGCAAAACAGACTCCCCCCAGCTAAGTCTGATGCTGCGCCAGGCTGGGAAATCCTCATGGAGGAACCATGAGTTTCTTCAAGTCCAACCCTGGAAGCTCAGTGGCTCCCAACTCGATGGCATTTTAGAATCAGCAGGGGAGTTTTAAAATAGGATGCTCCTGGGGCCCACCCCCAGGGATTCTGATGCAGTTGGTCTGGGTTGGGGCCCAGGAAACCAAGTGAGAATTAAATCCAGTTAAAGGAAAGAGTAAAAACTCACTCAACCCAGATGTTCTACATTCTGATGACACTTAAGCCCCAGGCAGGAAGAGCAACACAACAGTGTTTTCTCACAGGGTGGTCCATGGACCATGGCCTCAAAAATCCCCTGGGGTGGGTGGGGGGTGGGAGAAGCACAGACTGGTTAAAAATGCAAGTGGCGAAGCCCACCCTGAATCAAAGAGACCCAAATATCTCTGGAGGTCGGGCTGGGAAATCTGCATTTTTAACAAGCTCAGAGTAGAGAGACAGAGAGAGAAAGAGAGAGAGAGAGAGAGAGAGTGTGTGTGTGTGTGTGTGTGTGTGTGTGTGTGATTTGAGAAGGTAAAGACTGGGTTCTACCACGCCTTGGTTTTTACTGAGGGCAATTCTTTGAAGCAGGTGAAATTTTTCCTGGGAAAATCTGTGACCAGGGTGAATCCCCTATCAGTAAGTGAGGAAGGGAAGGCCTCACGACACTTTAGGACGGCAGTGCGGCGGGGAGAGAACCAGAGCTCGGGCAGCCAGCGAGCGGGACGGTGATACGAGCAGCCCCATGGACGGCCACCCACCCGGCCAGTCAGCAAGGCCAAGGCCGAGGCACTTGCGCAGCATCAAGAAATGAGGTCAGTCACCCCCCGGGGCCAGGAGAGCAACACAGAGGCTGTGTCTTCACGACGGTAAGATTTTAAAGAGACAAAAACCTCACAGCCGCTGAGCCTGCCTCTAATTGGTGAGGTGGCGGCTGCTATGGACACAGCACCCAAGTCCGGTTCCGGGCTCTCATTGCTTCTCGACGGCCTCCTCAGCCCTCAAAACCGAACTTCCTTTCTCCGATTCCGTCTCCTTTGGCCCGTGAATTAAAGCCCCCAGGCGGGACATTCTGATCTCTTTAAAAATCTTCACCATGACCCGGAGAATACTATAATTTCATCATGACAATATCCTCTCGCCAAGTAAACCCACTCATATCTATTTCATTTGTATGTTCTCTGCCAATGGGGATGAAGTCAGCCGTAGGAGGATGGAGCAGGGAGTACAGGACGGACATGCCAAGGTCCTACAGGTCCTACCTTCTGGGTCATCGCGGATCACCAGCAGCCCATTCCTGCACACAACCTTCCCGGTGGTGGCGTCTAGGAATATTAGTGATGGAATGTTGGAAATGCGATATTTGTTCCAAAGTTTCAGCTGTAAGAAGAAAAGGGAAAAAGGTGTTTAAGTCCCAACCGCATTAACTGCAGCGTCCTTTTGAGCCCCTCGGGCCCGAGGGGTGAATGAACTGGAACACACTGAAGTACAGATCAATGAACAAGTGAAGCTGCGAGCCCACTGGCCTCTGTGGTCTGGGGCAGGGCAGGGGAGTCA